TCTACACTTGCTCTTCTTAAACCTCATCATGTTCCTGCTTGCCCAACTCTCCAGTTTGTCTAAGTCTTATTGAATGGCAACCCAGCTTTGTATCATCGGCAAACCTGGGTTGACTCTATCCCTTCATCCAGATTGCTGACAAAGTTATTGAACAAGATCAGAGCTAGTGCTGCCCCCTGGGAAGCATAGCTAATTACTCCAACCAGACTCTTTGCTGCCAGAGACAACTCTCCAAGCTCCAAGTGCTGCCTGTGATGACAAGCTCCAAGCTGGTCAGTCAGCCAGTTCCAAATTCACCTCAACATCTGCTTATCTATCCCATGTTTTCTAATGCTTGTGCATTGTCTTCTTGCTCTGAAGTTTGACGAGCAGATCCCAGTTCAGCCACGCTGGTCTCTTGACTTTTTTCCTGACTTGTTACACTTGTGGATAAAGACCTGAGAAAAACCTCTTTAAAGATCTGCCAGTTCTGCTGTGCACCACTGACCACAAGGGCAGTTTCCCAGGACACTTTATTCACTAACTCCCTGAAGAGCTAGAAGACAGCTTTCCTAAAATTTAGAATCCTAATTTTACTCTTCGCCTATCTCATATCCCTCTTGTGTAATCGACAAGCATACAGATGTATGTTTGACAAGTATACAGAGAAGTCAGGCTGGTTTTTAGAGAGCATATAGATGAAAATACTAGCACACTGGAAAGGAATAATCAGAAATGAATGCAAAAGCTTACCCATATCCTAAGCTTGCAGGAAAAACTCCAAGAGAAGCAATTGCCAGAGAAAGATCCTTCTCCAGTGGCAGTCAGCCCTTATATGGGGAAGCCCCCTTATAAGGGGACCACCCCTTCTGGCCACACAGCTGAATTGCCTTCACCTGTGCTCCTGTGGCTGACTCATTGCTTGCCCCAGGTGATCAGGGGTTCAGGCTGTGATTCAACAGTTCCCATACACATCTGGAGCATGAACTCAACCATAGCATGGTCACTGCAGCTCAGGCAGCCTCCAATCCTGATATCACTAGTCAATTTATTTTCATTGGTGAGCAACAAATCCAGTATTGCTTCCCCTCTGGTGGGGCCATCTATTACCTGAATCAGGAAGTTATTATCAATGCATTGCAGGAACCTCCTGGATTGCTTAAAGCTCACTCTACTACTTTTCCAGGAGATTTCTGGGTGGTTGAAGTCTCCCAGCAGGAAGAGTGCTTGCAATCACAACGCCTCCTTGTAGCTGGAGGTACAAGGCTTCATCAACGGGCTTTGCTTGATCAGGTGGCCTGTAGTAGACACCAATCACAAGGTCCTCTCTCCTGCCTCAGTCTCTAATTGTAACCCATAGCCTATCAACTTATTCATGACTATTCTTTACAGATAGCTTTTCACATTCTATTCCTTTTCTCCCACTGAGAAAGGCAAAACCCCATCCTTTGCCCACAGACTCAATGCCATGTGGTTGTCAGAAAATAAACAAAGTTCTGGCAACAGCACAAACCACAGAGATAGGTATTTAAATATAAAATCCTTTGATTTCTTTCTATGTTCTTACCGAACAGGAAACAGAGAGGAAAAGATTATTTGTGCGTTCAGATCCTTCAGCCATCATCTCCAGGCCCTATCAAAATAGTCTGACATTAGCAAATTGAACTATGTCCTGAAAGACTTCTTCTTACAGGGAGAAACAGAACCTTTGAAATCACAAGAAAGACTTTTGTTGGCCTCTGCAAAGTCCATGGAGAGTAAGCCTCCAGCTGCCATGTAAATGAAGAAAACCAAATCACAATGATAAACTGACATTAACAGCTGCGCAATGTTTGCAAGTGTTATTTGCTCTTTTAAGCCAAATTTTTGTGATTTTTATATAAAATTGTAACATGTGTGAATAAACAACTCTTTAATGATAAATCCTTTTATTGTTATAAATGACAGAACACATATTTCATGCTGATATATGACCTGGTGAAACAAGAGTTTTATCATCATTTGTTTCAGCCACATGTTCTCATTCACAATATTGCTTACAGAACTAAAAAATATTTATCTTATGGGTTATAATGTTGTTTTATAGCAGATTCCACAGCATTACATGATGCTAACGGGGCAAAATCATAACAAAAATATCATACCCTCTTTGCTAAATCTTCTCACAACTCTGGAACTAAAATCTTTCTGAAGTTCTGCTTACTTGAGTTTCTCAATCACGTCATTTGTTTCTCTACAGAGAAGGACAGAGACAGAGAGAAAGGAGGACATGCAAAGACAGAAAGGAAGACAGGAGGAAAAATAAAAGGTGCTGGGCCTTTTACTTCCATTCCAGGTGTTTTTCTTTTTGTATTTGTTTGGAACTTCAGATCCCCGTCATAAGAGGCATTTCTTAGATGTTCCAGAGTGTATAAGGTCTACACTTAAGACTTTTAAGAAGTAGTAGTTCAATCCTTTTCTAGATAGTAAGTTCTCTATTTGCATGTACCTTCAAGTTGCCACCAGCTCACTGACTCTTCAGGCACCAGCTAAGAACTGATGGTAATAGTGGACCTCTTCAAATCAAAACATAAGAGATTCTCTCTGAACATCAGGAGCATTTTTGTGCTGTGTGAGCGACTGAGCACTGCTGGATGTCACCCTGAGCAGTTGTGCCATCTCCTACTTGGAGATTTTCACAAGCAGTCTGGATGCGTTCCTCACCTATCCTTCTCCTTCCAACCTCAGCTATTCTGTGATTCTGTGATCAAGGAAGGAATGAAAGAAAGACAGCTCCCCTGGATAGCTGTGCAGCTTTGCACATAGAAGCCTGTAACTGTAGAAGTTCTTCTCTAAGCTTAATGGGGTCCTACTAACATAGTGCATGCAGTTATTGCACACTACAGCCCCCTTCTCCCCACCCTCGAACTTCCAATGGCCCCAACATCTGCTAGAAACTGTAATGAAGTGTGGTTTACCTCTGCTCTGACTGCAGAGATAACTGACAAGTTATGTATCCACCAGGTGCTAGGAAGCTTACAAATGACTAAGATGAAATAAAGCAAGTAGAACTGAATGAATACACAGCTGCTTTTGTAGTGACAGTCACCTGGTCCTGTAGTTCCTTACTTTTCACCGAGAAAAGGTTGAAGTCCCCAGGTACCCCAGGAGTGTTCAGGGTAATCTCCATTTCTCCTTTTCCCTCTCACCACACCCAGGACCCATGAGGAAAATGGAGGTTAGCTAACCATTTTTGGAGAGACAAAGGGGAGGAAGGAGGATACTTTAGACCCTGAAGATGTCACCTCTTGATCTGTACATAAACACCCAGTTATTGGAAGGCTGGCATGCATCTATGACAGTCTCCGATGCAAACGGTATTTTTCAGCACAAAAACAGAAACACACAGTGTCTTTGATTACCAATGCTTATCTAGTACTTCATTAAACAATGATATTAATATTTGTAACAGTGATTCATGGCTTTGCAAATCAACATTTTGAGGTAAGTCACTGAAGATGGGCTATTTTTTTCCTTAGCTCCTTTGCAAGAAGATATTCTCTGAGCAAAGGAGTATAATGTTAACTTCTGAAATGTTTTTGTTCTTGGACATAAGGAGACAACAGGATATAATGAAGCTAATTATGTCCCCAGGCATAAATGAATAAAAAAAAAGAGGAAGGAAAAAACTATCAAAAAATAACCAGCAGACCATAAGACTGAGAATCTCACTCCCACAGTATACCCAAGACTGACTGCACGATATGGCAATTAAGTCAAGTAATACAGTAATTTAACACTCAATAACCTCAATCAATCAATCATTCTGCCCTTGGCAAAGATCTTTGTTGCATGCTTGGTTGTTGTTTTTGCAGTTGTTGTTTGTTTGGTTTTTTTTGTTTTGCTTTTTTTTTTCACCAAAAAAGTAGTACAGAAGCAAAACTTAGACTACATTTTGCCTTTTTTTTTTCCTTTTTCACTCTTAAGACTTGTTCTGTAGATCCCAGGTTGACAATTCGTAAACCTTAAAGAGACGTTCTGTTCTGATAAAGAACCACAAAGGAACATAAATTAAAACTGACACTGAATAAAAGGTGAACAAAGACAAATCATAACAAATAGAAATATATTCCTTTGAAATTTCCACAAACTCGAATAAAACTATTTATAAAAAATCAATTTTATTTCGTATTTATGACAACTTGAAAAGAATTGATTAAATCTGATAAATAAACCAACTGAACTGAATTTTTTAAGGTATTCAGGCATCTTAGGACACAAAAAAAGTATCTTCAGGATGGATTCTTGTTCATTTACACTTCTGCAAATTTTAAAAATCTGAACTGACAGTACAGACATACACAATCTCATTTACATCCTTAACTGATTTGTATCCTTGATTCTTTCAATGTCATCAACAGGATTAACCACGTCTGTGTAAGACAAATATTTTTCTTCGATGCTGTAACACATTTAAAATCAAAGACTTCTTTAAGACAGATCTAAAGATGTTATCTTCAATATATTTAATGTTACTCTTAACTATTACATAAAATAGATTTTAAAAATCCATTATTTTTATACTTTGTACAGTTTCATATCTAGGAATGAATCTCAGGAGTTTCAGGTGTAGACTGGGAGAGATGGTGACATGATAATGGTTATACAATTACTTTCTTTGTTTGGATTTTCATTCAATCACAAGTGTTCGGTAGTTAGAGTTTTGGGAAAAACAAACAGATACCTCAACATTGACAAATAGAAACAAATGAACTGATAACACTATTATATACTCAAGGCTTGTCTTTTAATCTGTTACAGAGCCGTCCCTGAATCTTCTGAGTTCCCAAAACCTTGAAGGTGCCTTTGCTGTGTCAGGGTCCTTCCTCACAGTGCTGTTCAGCCATATGCTGACTGAATGTGCAACAGTATTGCAGACAGAAAAAAAATACTTAAAGTAAATAAATAAATAAATGTAATAAATAATAAAACAAAACCAATTATTTTTGCAGTGGATTTTTAAAATCATCACTTCTTCAAAGAAAAACATACTATACAAGTTCAGTGATTGAATACTATTCCTAATGACTATTTTCAATGGCAGGAAATAGAAAAATAGGTAAGAATAAGATTATTGTTAATTATTCCTGAATGGTTAGATACTAGCTGTATAACTGAATGCCAATCAGCACTCAGTCTAGTGCCACTAGTGCACATAGGAAATATCAACATAATGAAGAATATACATGTGCAAATTATTTAAAAAAATTGCATATATGCTTTACACTTACACTTTACTTTCTTCTATACTAAACCTAAAGAACAAACAGATTCTGAGCAATTATTTCATAGTTCTCTCCAAATGTGTCTATTATAAAGTTAAAGACAGAGAAGAAGAGAGAGAGGGAAAAAGGAATTTTGATCAAATTTCCTAACTGCTAAGTATTACCTATTACTAAGCCATGACATGTTTTATTCAATGAAAAGACCAGCTCCACATCTGTAAATCTGTCTGCATGAATGCTAACAGCTGGGTGGTAAAATAGAAAGGAGGAGAAGAGGTGAGCAGCTCAGACTTCTTTCAGTTGTTTATGCACACAAATGCAGCAGCCGAAGGGCCTGATCCAGTTTTTGAGTATGTCTGCAGTATTTCGGATTGCTCTCCATGCAGCATGCTAGGAAGAGCAGTTCTGGGGCACCATAACAAGCTCAGTACCTGTCCTGAGCGCTAGAAAAAGAACGTGAAAGGATGGTAGAAAAGAAATTGTATAACCATCTCTGATTCATTTGCTTGGAGGAAACAGCTGTTTTTAACAAAACAGCTCATGTGTTTTCATGTGGCCAGTTCAGTGTTTTTCTTCTCTCTGAGCTGAGTTTCAAGGATAGAAGGAAGATACGACCACAGCACTGTACTTAGTTAATTAGTAAATAAAAGTCTGGTTGTCAAACGACAGACAATCTAACCAGCTCTAAAGTTTATAGTGAGAGAAGACAAAAAGCTGTTGCCTCATTATTTATGTATTTAATTGTTAAACATTATTTCAGATTGTTGTTGGAGGTTGATAACGTCTCTGCTATCCCCATAGTCATGGCCTTGGAATCCAGGGACACTGCAGAAATAGCAATGTCTAAATTGCTTGTTCTTCCAGCAAGTGTAAATTTGCAAATGTAATAAAACAAATGTTACAGATATGTAGTAAATTTCCTTCACATTTCACATGCAATGTTCTGGTAGCCCTTTATGACAGAAGTAAAAACCTCACAGAACTTCTTCAGATCTTTCCAGAAAAAAATACAATAAGAATAATGTGAATGAAACAATTTTTGAGGGATCTTAACAAGGAGAGCACTAAGCAGAATGAAGCTACTTTTCACCTATAAAAAATTGTTGCAAGCAATAAATACATTCAAATAAATTAATGGCAGATTTTTTTTTCTTTCGTAGGTGTGGAGCTTCACCAATTCACTTATTAACAGAACTTCTTTATAGCCTTATACCTCTCCTGCCTGTCCTTTGTCAGAGTGTACAACTCACCACCTGAGGAAGCACTCAGTGATTCTTCACTCAATAGCCACAGTTTCTGCATGTCTTCACAGATGTAAAGGTGTACCCAAACAATGCAGACAAAAAACAGGCTGCATTAAGCAGTCACAACATAGCAGATGTGCCTGTTTTGGGGCCACTGTAATGAACACTGCAAAAGAAATCTGAGGACAGTGTGACAGCTTCCTGTCGCATGGTAAATGTGAAATAAAGTACCACTTTCAGCAACAAGAAATACCAGAATTTTGAAAGACTGCACAGCTCTACAACTATTCCTGGTGGACACAGGAAAATCATATCTAGACATGTCAAGTAAATGCTCAACATTAGCAGAAGACTCTCTTTGAAAGCACAGGATTTTACGACACCTAATTGTGTCTCTATAGGCTTACAACACTCACAGACACTGAATGTCTGTTTTGAAATCTAGCCATCTCAGTGCTGGAGACTACAGTCCCCTAATGTACACTCCCTCAAAGTGGCAGAGATGCTCTTCCAGTATGCCTTCTCCTTACCTCAGCTAAAATAAATTGATTCAAAACTCATTTGTATTTAGTCAGTTTACACTAGCAGTTCAGATTTGAACTGAAGCAAGGTAAGTAGCCGTTATAAGAACAAATCAGTTGGAATCTCAATGCAAATACTACTGAACTTACTAGTGAACATGCTTTCCTTTTTCACAAAAAATGGCAAGACAAGTGACAGTAGATGTGAATATAATCCTGTCATTTCTTCAAGAAGAACAGCAGTTTAAGATTCTTTACAGTAAATACCTATCAATGGAAGCAGAAATAATCAAAAAGAAAAAGTCAAGAAACTATCTTCCTCTTGAGATGTCTCCAGAATGTAAGTGGGCAAAAGAATTAAAAACAGGCTCTGTGTGTCTACAGTGACATCAGAAGTTAAAGCTGGCAAGAGAAAAATCTTAATCTAATCACAAGCAGCTACAGAAACTCTGTGTCCCAGCTGCAACCTCAGGAGAGCCATATTAACATAAGGGTGTTGCTAAATGTATGTGTCCCAAATAGTTGAGACCCCTAGGGACCAACTTTTGATAATGAGCAAAAGAAGGCTAGCAACTGCTGAATACAAGCAAAAGTAACACAGCCATTCATGTATCTATCCCCATACCACCTATAAAACTTGAAGTGCATTGAACATAACATTCAACTTTGGCTGAACTTGATAAATAATTTGAACAGGGTAAGAAATGCTTAAGTAGCTTCTCCTCCTTTTTGTGCTAACCCACTAATAATTCAAACATATTTAGGCAGCCTTTACCGCAAGACATCCTCAGCTCATCCTTAACCATTCCAGTGCTCAGTACTACCACTCAGCTCCACAACAGGATATATGCAGTGTTCCCAGTGGAATCAGTGCTGTAAATCTCCGAGTGTCTAGTGGATATTGTGTTGAACTTGGACCCAAATTTCAGATTAAAAAGACTTTTATGGAAAGGGGGAACTATGTACAAAACAGTGGTACAATCGCAAGTTAACAATATAGCTTGTATTTTACTTTATGTATTGTTTAAAAATATTAAAAGGCTGATTCATCTTGGGCTTAAACTTCTTACTCATCCATATACAATTTTGTCTAGTACTCCATATTTGCAATAAATTGGAAGTCTCTGGTCAGTCAGGACAGCATGGTTGGCAACAAATTCTTGTGGAGAACCATTTCTGACAGTTAACAGGATCCAAGCACTGCTGATATTGCAAGAGATACATCTATGAGTATTAGTTCAACAGTTGATACTATTTCATAATTTGATGTGATGACATACTGAAACTCATTTTAAAAAAGGAGGTTTTGTTTTATGGGTTGAAATAAAAGACTAAAAATTGTGAAATAGTCATTCTAAAACAATTTTCAAATATGTTTCAAATAATTTTGATGGAACACTTCTGTTTCTTTTCAGCTGAACAGATGACGTTAAGCAGTTTTAAGGCACACTGCTTGACTTTCTATTGATAAGAAGTGGCAGAGGAGGTGAGTACAAACAGGAAGTCATTCTACGTGCTTTCCAGTTGTCCCCTGCACTAGCTGCAAGCAGGAAACCTTCAGTTGCCCAAGGGCTATGTATGTGCTACAAATCATTAAAGTGAGTGACTCGACTCTTGCACCAAAATACACAAACAGGGACTGCTAATGCAGTCTTGCTTCTTATCACTCAGCGTCATGGCACTTTTCTTCCTCTTAGACCTGAGAGATTTAAGTTTTCATAAAGTAAGTGAGCATCACTTGTAGACACTTCAGGACAAAATCTAGCAGATCTAACTTAGACAAAGATGTGTTTCAGTAAACTGAAAATTGCCAAATAATTTTTATTACACTACCTCGGTTACATCATTCCTTGAGAATTCAATGAAGATTGGCCTCACAAAGTAAGAGTTGCTTCTTTCCGAATTACTTGCAAGAGTTCCTGGAACAAGAGGCTGTGTAAATTCACAGAACTGGTGGCTTAATTCTTTCTGTTACCAGTAACATTTCCAGTATGGTATCCCTGTGAGGAGAAGAACACTGTTTGGAAGAAAATAACGAATCCATTCTATCCCAATGACCTGAATCTTCATTCTTTTCTCACATGTCAGACATAACTCTCCTGCAGTTTTGGAAATGTTTGTTTAAGTGTTTTCCTGCCCATTATTTTTCATTGTTACATACTTCTGCACTTGTGTAAGGGGAAGTTAGTGACAAATGAAGCAAAAATAACTGTGAAATTACAATAAATAAATTATATCTCAAGTGTTTTCCAGGGAGTAGAAAAGTGCCAGCAAGCGAGCTAAGCTTCAGAGATCAGCAAATGAAATACAGAGACTTTAAGAGATGCAAAACATTTTTAAATAAAATAATTATTTTAAGAAAACAGCATTAAACAGCTTTGAAATGTATGACAAATACTTCTGTTCACAGCAGAAGCACTTACCTCCTTATAAGGTTCAGGAGAGAATTCTTCAGCATAAAAGAAATGTAATGGTTTAATTTATATTGATCTAGACAAAGAAAGAAATTAACTCATGAGAAGGGCTAATTAATCTGTAGAAAACTTTTGATATAAAATCGGCTTTTTTTCTCAGATGAACACAATCTTTCAATACTTCTTAATATACAAAACTGCTTATGCAGTTTTAACACATAAAAATGAGTGAAATGGTCTGCTCAGATTTCAGAATTCGAAAGTGAACTCTTCCTAATAACAACAATGGCTTTGCTACTGATTTTGTATTTTCCCCTGGATGTGGAATTCTCTTTTTCTGGGCCCAGTTATTCACAGATGAGCATATGTTGCAGGCATTTTTATTTTGTAGAGAAAGCATGAAAAATACTCACCACTTACCTTTTTTCCTCGGAAGAAATTATGACTAACAAGTTTCTGCTGCATAATTAGCAATGCACTGTGAAAACAAATAGTGTTGAAAAAAGGCCCCTTTTTTGCAGATTCATTTGCAGACTTCAGCTTCTCTTTAACAAATCATCCAGCTTTAGTATTTTACTATAATTTTACTATTTAACTATTATACTATAATTTTTAAGATGGCTGGGTGGCTTATGAATCAATTTTGCTGGTAACAGTGAAACAGGAGGCATCAGTTGTTCAAGAATGGGGCAATGCTCTGGAAAATGCGAATTCCACTCATGTGCACCAAAGTTCCTTAAAAAGTCACCTAAGTATTTTACAAAGTGTTCCCAGTTTTGCAATACAATTGTGCCTTTGGAACTCCTGGGCATGTTTTGGCGATAATGTGACTTGTGAAATTTATGAGCATCTGGACAAATAGAAGTTGCTTGTACACAATCTGCATAGACTTGAAAAAATGTCATTGTTGACTCAAAATTAGATCAATATGAATAAGCATGTGAGCTGTAGTGATGTTTTATAGCTCTTTTCTTTTTTTACTTTGACTTCAGAGCAGCTTTCTAGAAGCTTGAGGCTTTGCTCACAGTGTTTCAGACCCAGAATCAGGAGAGACAGTTTTTTTTTTTTCTTACAAATAGCAAAACAGACAGATAAACAGACTTAACTGCCTTATCGTCTAACAGTGAAGACTAATTCATAAGGATAGCCAAGAATAGTACTTTCTACTCTGCCATGGTGAGGCCTCACCTGGAGTACTGCGTCCAGTTCTGGGCTCCCCAGTACAGAAAAGACAGGGATCTCTTGGAAAGAGTCCAGCGGAGGGCCACAAAGATGGTGAAGGGCCTGGAGCATCTCTCCTATGAAGAAAGGCTGAGTGAAGTGGGTCTGTTCAGCCTTGAGAAAAGGAGACTGAAAGGAGATCTGATCTAGGTCTATACATATCTAAGGTGTGGGGGGCAGAATGGCGAGGACGGACTCTTTTCAGTGGTGAGTGGAGACAGGACAAGGGGAAACGGCCAGAAACTGCAGCATAGGAAGTTCCGCACAAATGTGCGCAAGAACTTCTTTACAGTGAGGTGACGGAGCACTGGAACAGGCTGCCCAGGGAGGTGGTGGAGTCTCCTTCTCTGGAGATGTTCAAGAGCTGCCTGGATGCCTACCTGTGCGACCTGCTGTAGGGAACCTGCTTTGGCAGGGGGTTGGACTCGATGATCTCTGGAGGTCCCTTCCAGCCCCTACAGTTCTGTGATTCTGTGATTCTGTGATACTTATGGCAAGACAGGACAAAAAAAAATTGCTAGAGATGGAAATATGATAGCAGTGGAGAATAGCTTCACCACAAGGAGAATAGGGTCAAGTGTAGTTCTGAAAAATGAGTACAGAAATACCAGTGAATCAAATGGAATAACACACAGAAACAGTTATTTTCTATGCTCTGACTCAGTGGCTAAACTCAAGTTACTTACTCTCCTTTCTCCCAACACAAATTTTTCCTGAAATGACAGTAAGAGCTAAATCCTGTCATTTTCCTTCATGCAAATATATTTTTAAAATGATGTACCAAAAAGTTCGCTTTATTGTATAAGGCATGTATATACATATGAACACTGACTTGCATTATATATAGGCGTAATTACTATGTTTGTATCTTGTTCCAACTTATAGGCTATTTGCTGAAATGAAACACCTAGCAGAAAGATTATAATTCATTTCATTGCTTCATTTTTGTTATATTTTGGAGGGTTGGCAGCCACCTTCATATCTCAGGCTGAAGCCCACAGAACAGACTGTAGAGATACTTAACCTCTTAAATCATGTCTCTTATTTTCTCTTATCTTATAGTCCTAAAATTTCTTGGCAAAAGTATTGAGAGGATGACAAGAGAAGTACTTGTTTGTAAATTGTACTTGTATGCATGGCCAAAATAAGAGCCTTCAAATGCAGGTTTATGAACAGGATTCCTATCTGCAAAAGCATATCAAGTCTGATTTGTCCAGTTCCAAATTTTTCAACACAGTGAACTCCTGATACACCTCATATTCAAATGTTAGTGTTGTCAGTTAAATGCTGTGTCCTAAGAAATTACAGAGTTCTGAAGGATATTATATTTAACATAAAACCAAACCTTGTATTTGGGTTACATTGTCAAGAGTTTATAAATGTGTACAGGAAATTGTACAAGAAGCAGAAATATTTTCCAGTTCAAAACACGATCGCACAAAAGACTAATGAAAATGGTCAATCTGCCTTAAAGATCTTCCCTTCTATGCACTTCAGGGAAAGCCTGGATTTTATTATTATTATTTTTTTTTAAGATAAAAGCACACACACAAACACAAAAGGGCGGAAAATGGAATAATACAACCATAGTACAACCAGATTCCTTTTAAGTATACCCTGACCTGTTGCAACTATCCCAAATAAAAGTTCTCCCCTAAAATTCTCCCCTAAAAGTTGAAATTGACAAAATTTGCAGTTACATTTGCCTAGATTTTAATCAGTATTAGAATATAGCATTTAAATGAATGTTAATAACCGTACTACTTACTTGAAATTGTATACATTATGCCTGGAAAGCTAGCAATTTTACAAAAAGGCTGTAGATCCAACAGAGAATATACATTTAAGAAAGTTTAATTGATTTTTTTGAACTAGCGCTTAAGATCTCTCTCAAAATTCATGTTAAGTTTTGCTGTATTATCCAAATATCTATTTATTCTTTGACAGTGCACATAATAACTGTGAAGCCAAACAGCTGGAAGCCATACATGGTGTATATGTTACACTTCATATGTTATTACTACCATTTCTGTTAATAAAGTACATTCTTTAACTAAATCCTTCTTCTCAAAGTGATATTTCTTTAAGTCTTTGAGACAGTGTGATCAATGTTCTGCTACCAAAATTTTTAAATGAAAAACAAATGCTGAAGGTTTGGGAAATGGTGGCTAGTGACTAATACTTTTTTCAAATGTTGATCCAAGTTAACCACTTTTTAGTGGATATTATGTTATCATTTTATCTACATACTGAAAAAGCTTCAAGGTAATTTGTCACTAATAGAAACACATAATATATCTAATACTGACCCACAGTGAACTCCCCAAAAATAAATTGTATACAACATTTTTCTTTAATTCTCTTATTATATAATTCTAAAGAGGAAAAATATACATATTTTTTCAAGCAGTACTATAGTGAACAACTGCACTTAGGTAGAAGAAATAGTGCTGGACACCAGCAGGAAGGCTCAAGAGTGTTGCAGTGAATCTAAATGCCTACAAAGACACCAAAAATTCTGTCTGTTAAACTTGTCTAAAAAGCCAGCAATTGCAGCATACCTACAAAGACTACCGGGCCTTCCTGCTTCAGGTTGGATCATGAGTTCTTGGTCAGTTCTCCTGGGAGCTTGAGACAGACCAAGTAACCAGGGCAATGAAAAGCAGCATCCAAGTTGTCCGCACTGCACCATTTTTCATGGAAACTTACTGTTAGTACTAACAAAAAAACATTTTAGGACAGAGATTATTTTTACTGAGTTAGATCTTCAGCACCTGTGTCAGTAATTCAAAAGAGAGTCAGAACTTTTCAATGACCTTGGAGAACAGAAAAGGTGAGGATTTTTTTCTGTTTTTTTGTTTATACTAATAAAATCATTTCTTTGAAGGCAAAACTGAGAAGCAGCATTCTTCATCAACAATCTATAACCAGTTTAGGATTAGATGGGAAATACTTCAGTGACTAATATGGCTATATCTTACAGCTGGAAGGTTCCAGCAGAATTTTAGTGGAATTATGGGAGATTGGGAATGGGATTGTTGCTTTTACATAGGTCTGTTTCACCACATTCTTCTCAATTTTGCAGTCTTGATGGTCTGTGACAACCTTTTTTCACAAAATGAGTAATTCTTCACCTGCTGATCTATATTCTCAGTCATAGTAAGTTTGCTTGAGAACTGCTCGTCTGATATGACCATGGCTCATTAAAGAAGTACCATATTCATGCTCTCTTCCTCACTTAATCAGTAGGAAAGAAACACAGCATAGTTCATTTAGTAGATGCAAACAAAAAAGATCAACTCCTTCATACAATCAATACTATCAACATCCTGTTCATACAACATCTAAGGATTACAGTATTTTATATGGTTGACTTCCAGGTAGACTGCAAGCTAAATTTTGAATACAGAAAATGTGACAATAGCAACTCTTTCATGCTGTCTATTTACAACTATCTGGCAGAAGAGCCAAAATAAAGTCCATGGGTGAAAGGAAATCTGAGTTAGGAAACACGCATACTTGCAAATCCCAGGACCTGACCTCTAAGTAGAAACCTGCTTTGCACAGCTGTTTGTACAGGGCTAGATATATAGTATTTTGGTATGATCTCTAGAAAAAAGTGAAGATTCAATATTTTCAGTACATAAGGTTACTGCTAACATTCTTTACAGATTAAGTAGCAAAGGGTTTTGTTTCACTTTCTTTATTAGTTTTTCTCTCCTTGCAGTCCCATATCCTAGAATAGATGATTTTGTCTGTGCCTTAAGACGTGTGCAGAAAACTAAGAGATGAAAATGATTTGTGCGTGAAGTTTATAATTCTATAACGAATTTACATTATTTTGCTGGCTTCCACATTCTCACTTCAGTTGCCCTATGCATTTTCACTTTGCTGTATAATGAAGAATATTGCTTGGAAAATCTGTGCAAAGGATTGATATAATTATATTTAAAAAATACTTAATTCAACATTGACAACTTCACCACATGAGGTCAAGATTTGCTGACATAATATCCCCACAGGGCATTTGGAAATAAAAAAGGCGAAGACAAGAGAATGGAAACAGTATGTAATACAGATAGACTGAACAAAAGGAACAAGAGACTGCCTTGTAGAAGTGATTTCCAGAGTTCAAAAAATTACTGCACATCTAACTAAAATCCAATTGTTCTCATCCGTGATCTTTAAAGCATTTCTGTTTCTCACAGAAAGTTACACAGAATATTTTTGTTTTCTGTTTTATAATCCATTAAATCAAAAACATATGAATGAGGTTTATGCAATGACATATGGAAATCATTAATGCTGCATTAGTCCTCATCTAAGCACCCTGT